GGCTTTTGTACCTGGAGGTTTTCTAACATGTTGCAATACCATAGCATTATCATGAGCAATAGCTAATCTGCATATAAATAACTGTATCTTGAAATACTGACTTTCATCCAGTGTTTATTATATTTCTATCCCAGGAAATAATACTTTGGTTAATTAAGTACCATAAAAGACTCACAGAGATGATAGTGAAAAAAAGTATTTACATGCCTACCTGCTAAGCTGTGTAAGGAAGCCATACTAAAACCCACAGGAGTAATTCCAAGGTTATTAGTTGCTGAGTAATATAGAAATTATTAAGTTACTTGTTTGTTTGAATTAGAATTACAGAAAAACAAAAAGAGTGGTTTTCTTATTTGAATTAGGATTCTGTTCTTGTACAGACACTGTGAAGGGATACTGGTATTTCAAGTTGCAGTATAAAAGGTCTGTGTCTTTGTAGTTGATTGACCTTGGCTGGACACCAGGTGCTCACCAAGCTGCTCTATCTCCTTCCTTCCCAGCCAGACTGGGGAGAGAGAGTAAGATGGAAAACAATTCGTAGGTTGAGATAAGGCAGTTTACTAAAGCAAAAGGGAAAGTTTGCACACACACAAATGAAGAGGAAAATGACAAGGTTTATTCTCTACTTCCCATCAGCAGCAATGTCCAGCCATGTCTTGGGAAGCAGAGCTTCAGCATTCATAATGGTTTCTTAGCAGGCAGCCATTGGAAACAATTAATGCCCCCCAGCCTCCTACTCCTTTCCTTAGCTTTTATATCTGAGGTGATGTCATATGGTATGGAATATCCCTTTGATAAGTTTGGGTCAGGTGGCCTGATTGTTTCCTCTTCCAACATCATGCCCTCAACCTGGGCGGGGGGGTAAATGTTGAGAGACAGTGCTGGATGCTGTGCCAGCACTGCTCAGCAGTAGCCAAAACATTGGTGTGTTATCAACACCTTTCTAGCTACCAATGCAATGCATAGCACTGTAAGGGCTGCTATGGGGAAATGTGTTCCATCTCAGCCAAACCCAGTACAGGCTTCAAGTAAAAAATTGGGTGTGCATTTTAGCACACTTGAATTTTCCTGCAGCTTGTGATAAGAATTTTGTAGTTAATTACTTATTTTGCAAAACACAAAAGTTACTGGAATGTAATTTGAAGAAGATTTGGGACCATGAACAGCCAATGTAAACCACTGAGACATGATAGGATGGCTTAAACAGAGATTCATAGTAGTCAATAGATCAGGTTCTTGATATTTACATAGACTCAAATCATAGACGCATCTGGGAATAAATGATTTTCTATGTGTGCTTGGGCACACTGAAAACTAAGGAAGGACAACAACAAGTTTACTCTTTCTGTGTCATTGCTTTTATTTGTCTCCTTTCTTCAGAATGTCGGTGTCTTTAAGTGTCTGTAAAAGTTAGGCTCAGTAACACTGCATTAGTATCCATAATGTAGTGCAAGACATTGCACTTAATTTATGTGGTAATACTGATGCATACTGAATGTAGAAATCAGTTATTTTCTGTTTTCATGTTCAAAAAAATAGTTTTCTTAACTTGATGCCACAACTCCATCTGTTTCATATCATTATGTTTTGTAAGCCATTATGAAATGTATATAAGCAAGCAATAAGGCATAATAGGTAATGCCTGTAATTATTGTACTTTACAGTTCTAGTCCAACTCTTGCTGGTGTCATTAATTTCCAGTGTGGGATCTTTACATGAGACACCTGTTCTAAATTCATGCAGTGTCTGACTTTGTGTCACTTGCTCTCAGGGTAAATGTGATCTAGTTTGCACAGGCTTCTGGAAACCAGGATTCTGCAGCCTAAGTGCTTACATTTTAGATTTGTTTGTAACTGATGAATTTCCTAATGCATCATTCTAGTAAACATCAGATTTCACAGTATTTCAGTCAGAACTATTATGTTCTGTTGCCTACCTTGTATCTCAAGCAAGAGTATATCATCCATGTTTTCTCAGAAAGAGCAAGATTACTTTAGTTACACTAGGGTTAGTCCCTGTAAGATCTTTATATGCTGCTGTTGAAGGGGAGAATGCTTTTACTGGAATGCTTTTTTGGAATGCAAAAGAATTGACTATGATATGTGTCAAGCTATTTGAGAAGGTATTACATATTTGTGCTACAAGTGCTGTGGAGAAGTAGAAGATCACTTCCTTATTTGGAGTTATCCCTCAAGTCTATCTAAAGGATATAACACCATATTTTCCTCTTTGTCACAATTTTATTTTAAAGGGTCATAAAACTTTCAAGTCTGCTTTCTAAAACATCTCTAACATTGCTCTAAACTGCTCTCAAAATGTTATCTCATCAAGCTGCATTTTTAAATTTCAGATAAAGTGGTTTATGTTTTGGTTAATTTAAATGGCTCTTCACTAAGTTGCAATTATTATTGCATGTAATGATAATGGTTTTATCTCACTTTTAATTACCCAGTTGATTTCAGCTGTGAAAAGTCTGCTAAATCATCACCAAATCTAGAACTTGCTCTTCTAGAAGAACCTGCTGCTTATTGGAAAAAAGGGAAGAGTGTGTTCATTTTGGAGTGTGGCCCATTGATGTATCCCACTGATACTCTGATCTACTGATACAAAGTACTGTTATAAGCAGAAATAGGTGCAGTGTGACACTGAATCCTTGTTTAGAAACTGTGCATGATACACAGCTTTATAGGTTATATGTATGATATACAGGTATACCTAAACAAGGCAAAAGCCAAACAAACATTCATTTTCTCCCCTATTCCACACCAAGTCCATGACCTAATTTTCTTTGAAATTCAGAACACTCTCTAGGGTTTGCATTGCTTCAAAGATTCAACTCCACTTTTGCAAATGAGATTTTTTTCTCCTCACATATTTTGTACAGTGTATTTCCTCTAGCCATGTCTATTTTTGCTGTCAACAATGGTCTTAAACTTTCATTCCTTTCCTTACTGATACCTGATACAAGGTTTTTCTTTCCTCTTTTGGGAGAAATTACAGTGTTCAGTCACTTGGTGATCATTTCCATGAAGGTTCCCCTGAGCCTGCATCATGTTTCCCCAAATTTGTCCTCTGCTGCATGGCACTGTTCGCATTGTGTAAAGACAGATGCAACATCCAGTCTGGTAGTGGTTATTGCACTTATTCCAAGATAAATGACCTCCAGGTGCACCTGGGGAGATTAGGTTGGATATGAGGAAAAACTTCTTCATTGAAAAGAGCAATCAAGCATTCGAACAGGCAATCTGGGGAAATGGTAGAGACCATCCCTGGAAATGTTCACTAAACTTCTAGATGCACTTGGGGACATGATTTAGGGGTGAATAAATCCGTGTTTGGTTAATGGTTGGACTCAGTGGGGTTTTTTCCAGTCTTAAGAATTCGCAGATTTCAATCTGTGGTTTTCAGATAAATAACATCACTATGGTATCACAAGGTATCACTATGATACCTTGGCTTGAGAGAACAGATAAATCAGGACTTCCACAGCACCTAAAGGCATACATAGATTATTGCAATGCAAAGGTCAACTGATTTTAATCTCCAAAAGAAAGGGTAATAGATTAAATGTCTGTTTGAGTATTAGTCTCTAAAATAACTATTTTGCTTGGCTTTCAGCAGACTGCAAGGAATTTCTTTTAGATTAACTTAAGTTTCCTGCAGCTGGTCTTGCGGCTTTTGAAATACTTAAAGAGGGACGAGAGCAAAAAACGTAGTATGAGGCTTATGAAACATTTTGGATTCTAAGACTAAAGTTTTGGAGTTTCTGAAAGTCTCTGAAGAGGAAAGGAGAAACTGTTGTGGCCATAGTTAATACAGCAGAAGTTCTGACTTTAGTTGTTGATAAGGTGCTATACATTCTTCAGTTGTTTAAAAATAATGGTTTTCCGAAGTTCAGCTCAGCATATGCAATTCCATGTTAGTTGAAAACGTTGAAATTCAAAATGGTGTTGCCTGTGGATTGCAATAAATTTTAGATTTTTGTGCTTCAGTAAGAAAATTATTGCTTGGGTAAACAGACTGGTTTTTACATCTTGTCGTACTTGCCAAGATACAAAGCTCAGTCTTTGAAATAATGAACGATATTTACTTTAAAATCATGAAATACAGTGATATAAAGATCAAAGTTAATACATGGGAACAAATACACATTCAAAAATCATAAATAGATTATAACATATGAAGAATAATGATTCAAGATAAGTAAATAAGAACATGAAATATGATGGAAGCTTTCAGTAACTGAGTAGTCTGTGAGGGTAAAGTTACACATAAATGTTTCACACTTGAAAGAGATTTTAAAAATGTTAACTTTTTAAAAAATCTTTAACTTCTTCCATATTTTTGTTCTTTTAGAAGTCATAGTTCTGTTTTGGTTTTATTTCTTAAATACAGTTTTTTATCACAACATGAATTCCTGTCCAATTTTGATCTGCCCTTTAAAAATGAGTGCATTTCCCAAAACACCAGTGAACTCTCTGAGTTCAAGCTTCAGTCAAGAGCTTCAGTGAATTTAAAAACAATAGATAACATAAAATTCTTGAACATTGAACTCTGTTAGCTGACATTTGTATGAATTGTTTGTAATTTTGCAAACTGCACATTATGCAAATATGTAACATCTGACAAAAAGTCAAAGTTTTATTTTCAGATTTTAAAAAAGGTTGATACATATGGAGCTTTATAAATTGCTTATAAATTGGATGAGCTCTCTCTGCCCATCTCCAGTTTTTATTGTACTTCCCTTCTCTTTTCCTCTTCATGTAAGGCTGACAATATTTCTGTAATGTTTGGTGGATACTTGGTTTAACAATAACACTGAATTGATTATTTAATGCTTTGACTTGATTAAATGTTATTCTTTGAGGAGACAGGGATTGTTTACCAATCTTATTTGATTTGGTTTTAGCTATTGTAAAGACATTTCTAGAATTATAACATTTCCCTCATCTAAATGAAATACAAATAACGTATTTTCGTTTTGTTTTCTTTTCTTGAAGCCGATCAACAACTTACCCTTACACAGAAACCCAGATGTACACTCAAAACACTGGGGGAAATTACTTTGATACTCAAGGAAGTTCTGCACAGGTGACAACAGTGGTCTCGTCTCACAGCATGGTGGGCACTGGAGGGATTCAGATGGGCGTAACAGGAGGACAACTGATTAGCAGCTCAGGAGGGACCTATCTGATTGGGAATTCAATGGAAAATTCTGGTCACACGGTGACTCACACGACGCGAGCCTCCCCAGCGACAGTAAGTATTTCAGACTGATGCAAAATCTTTGAGACTGGTCTCTTAGTCACTCAGATATACTTGCAGACTGACAGTTTTTGTGACAAAATTGATAGCAGTATTATGTTGCCAGATACAGGAGTAAGAATACTATGAAAACTTAAAGACAACTTGCAAATATTTATATTTCATACCTTAAATTTTAACATTTTTCATTTTTCTGAAAACATAAGAACGTACAGTGTTGTTGAGTATAACTATGAGGATAACTTCCCTGTATTTTTTCGTTTTGTTTGCCCGATATTAGTATAGGTTTGGTAGCTTATTTCAAAATATTTCCAGTTGTTCAGAATACTGAGCTACTACATTTTAATACTTTATTTACTTATGTACTTATCTATAGTATATCTCCAAAGTCTGTTCCAGATTAAAAGCTCTTTGTGAAAATGTCTGATGTGCTGTGGGAAGATGCATTCTGTTATAACTGTGGTAGATAATACTGCAGATACGTAAACAGAAGCACAGAAACTTCCTTGAAGAGCTTGATCAATCAGCTCGTATTTCAGCTAGGAAAACGTGTTTATACTTGTCTAACTTTGCTGCATAGCCCTAATGAGTACTTTTAACTCATCCTTCTGGGTATTCTGGTCTGGACATAGAGATTTGGAAGTAATGGGGAAGAGAATTGTGAAACATAGGGTAGCAAGACTTGAAAAATATAGAAAGGAGATAAAGCATCATTATTAATATAGATTCACCAGTATTCAAAAAGACAATGAAATTATGGGACCTAGCTTTTAGTAACCACTCCAATAGCATTGGATAATTTAAATGATCTGATAAATTCTCTCTATTTTGATTCTTAAGGTGATTGATATGGACAAATACAAAGTTCTTGTACCATGGCAGAAATTATTATTTTATAAAAAAAACTATGCAGAATTCTTTTCTGAGAACAAGACTTGTAAAAATGAATTCATGAGTAGTATAATATCCCTCTAAAACATAGGGGGAGCTTTCAGCTAGCAACAAAGAATTTTATTTTTGAATTTCAAAAAAGAATGCATAATAACGTTTGCCTGTATTTTACATGACTTTAATAGCGGAACAGAGTTTCTGAAAAAAGCTTAATTCCTCTTTCAGATTTCAGATGCTTAACTGAATGTGGAAACAAGTGAGGCTTAAATGTATTCAGTAAACACAAATAAAGGGTGGTTGATTTACTTAGAAATTGGAAATCCTAGAATGACTTGAATATCAAAACTCCATGCTATATATTGCAAATTAAAAACCGTTTTGATTTTTTTTGCCAAAATAAAAGTAATGTTTGCCAACATTGACCAAAATCTAAGGTTCGTGACTTCAGCAACATCTTTCTCTTGCTTAGTGGGTTAATAAAACAGCCTATTTTAGTCGCTAAAGATAAATTCTGTACTGCTGTATCAACTAATTTTTAAGAATAGAAAAAAATCTTCTCATTAAATGACAGTTATTAAATTGCATTTTTACACTAAAATAGTTTCCTAATTTTTAGGGTGGTATTTATTCTTTATAGTATAATTCTGAAGGTATACATTAGAGTATATTATAAGTCATTTCTTGCTAAAGAACTGGGACATAACGGAATTTTAGATTTTATTATTTTAGGTTCGGTGTGTGTGTTTCAGCTGAAATATTCAGGAGTTAATTGAAACACTAAAGGTTCAGTAGAAACTTCCTTTAAAGCACTAAGTCTGTTGTAATTTTACTGGGGCATAATTAAACTACGTAAAATAGAGTTATGTAATATTTTAATTGGATTGCACTTTAGATAGGTAGAGCTTGTTTCACTTGATCCTCATTTGGTCTTTACCATCATAACTCTTTTCGTTCTTGTATTTGAATTTCGTTCTTGAATTTGTTGGAGTCATCAAAATAACCTTTATCCAGAGCGATTTGCTAGCATAATATGCCAAAAATTTTTCCAAATTTTGAATTAGTTTAGAGAATTTTCATATGGAGAAAAAGGATATAGAAATTAATAAGAATTTATTTATTAGTACATATGATCATCGCAAGTTCTCTTTATTTTGCTATAGCAGTACTAGTCTTTTCAACTGGTAACTTCATTTGTTTTCTTGTTTATCACCCTCACTGATCAAACCATTACATTCTGTAACAAGCAAATTAATTGTAGAATTGATATTATCTCTTTCTGATAAGTTAAAAGAAAGAAACAAAGCAATTTCAGGTTAAAAGTCAAATGTATAAAATAAGTCAATTTTATTAACTGTCTTTTATATAAATTAAATTCAAAATCTAATTTGCTTTTCACCAAGTATGCTGTTTGGTTTATGCAGACTTCAGTAAAAGATACTCAGAGACTTTTTACCTAAAGTTTATTTTCACTTTATTTTCATTATGGTTTAATATAATTCTGAGTTCTGCTTCAGGTTTAATAAAGAGCTAATATTTTGGTTGTAGTATTTAATTAATGTTAATTTTTGTCATTTAACATTTCAACAGAAACCTGTCTGTTTAAGCTATATCAGGCAGTAGCACTGTTTTTATAGCTAAAATATCAGGATTTGTGCACTATTAAAACTCTTCCAACATATGTACAGTGGTGGTTTATGTTAGCATATGTGAAGAATATTCGCTAGCTTTTCCTTTTTTTCATTTCCACTGATTTCATTGCTTCTTTCTATTATATTCTTTGCTAACCTAATAAACTACTTCTCTACCTGTCAGAAGGGACTTTTTTTCTAAAACAGAAAGGCATTTAAATCACAGGACTTTCAATATAAGATGCTCAGTAGATAAACAGCTTTCCAAAATTATCATTTTCATATGAGTATATGTGGATTGGCCCTGACTAGATTGTGATTACATCGAGCAAGAACTGATTGACCCTAGCTGAATGTCTATGTGAAATGAATTTGCATGTTGAAAGCTGGATGAAAGAGTCATCTGGTTTACTGGCAGCTCTCATTAAAGAAGGAGCAGCTACAGCTAAGAGACTCTCCAGAAAATTGGATTGCCACATTAATAATAAAATATAAATCACCTTCCAATTTTTTCCCCATATGTAAACATCTGAAGAGTGTTCTTGTGATGAAACAGAGGGTGATCTAATCAGCATATTTCATAATATCACAAGGTTAAAACATTCACACAGTTTCTAGTAATAAATGTGTTGTTATGCTTGTCAGTCAGTGAGAGGCTCCCATCTATTAATCTTGTTTTCGAGTGAGCTTTACAACTGTTCTTCAATTTACAGTTGTCATTCGTCAGTCATCAACAACTATAGGAGGTCTCCAGTCATGCTGTTACAGAAATTCATCATATTTCAGTGCAAATCTAAATGTGCATGAAAATAAAAGCAAAATTAATATTGATGTAATGTATCACCACAAATAATTAGTTCTGGTAGTAAGCACAGTGTGCAAAAGTTGCTGTTAACTTTAAAAGAAGAATGGTACCTGCCAAAAATGTGTTGTAATTATTGGAGAGAGAACAACAACAAGAAGGCCAAGCAGACATACCATATCCTGATAATACAATTTTAGTGGAAGTACTGTAATTATTTTCAGAAAAACTAACAGATGTTTAAATGTTCCATTAAAGGCAGAGGGGTTATCATTTGGAGAAAAGTTTGAGATGAGATTTTATTTACTAATCTATTTTCTGGCAATTTTCATTTAGTAGATCTATCTTAGCATAAAACAAAACATTTGTTATCAAATCAAAGATGCACAGATTTTTATACTAAAAGATTATTAGGTCATTTGGTCTGACATGTTATTCAAGCACGATATTTCTTGAACTGAGCACAGTGACATTTTTGTAGGAAAAAAACAGCCCTTAGATCACGGGCCTTTATGCACCTCTGCCTTCAAGGCTTTTCCTCCTGCTTTTTCCTTCCTCTGCCTTCAGAGCTGTGGATCTTCATCATGGCTTCTCCCTCTCTCTTCCAGAGGTTTCAGTGTAGTAATGTCACCAAAATAACTTATTTCTTTCTCTGTCCTATTGAGTGCCTTGCTGCTCCACTGTAAAGTCTTGCATTGAGACTGTGCCCTTTTCACAAGACAAGGAATGCAGAGGAAAGGGAGAATGACCCTGCTAAGGTCAGTCTCACCTACCCTGACTGCATTGTGGCTTTATCCACCTGTGCTCCTTGTTTCTTTTCTGATACAGGCTGGCTTCATTGGCTTTTAATGTGTTTTCTGCGTAAAACCCCTCTAACAACTATAGGTTGTTTCCAGTTTTGACAGTTTAATAGTTATTCTAGTATTTGTGTATCAAAACAAGTTGTTGGAAACTCAGTTTATGCCAATGTAGCATTCCAATTACCAAATCAAAAAGATTTTAGGAAACACAATTTTTTAATAAGATATTAATAAGATAATAAAAATAAGTATCTTTGAATCCATGAGAAGAATTTCTGCTAATTCTTTTTATTTAAAAACACATAATAAACTGGATGCCAGAAGACTTACCATGGTGTTCTCATAACAATCTGATTACTGGTGGCATAGATGCATCATGTTTCTAAAGGGCTAGGGTTTTTTTTGTTTCTTATTAAATACATACTTGTTCTAATATGGTCACTCTACCTTTGCCTAAGGCTGTCAAGCCATAAATGTTTTCAGGTTTGTTTTTAATGGGAATCTGAATTGAACTTTCTTTTTAGTTTCTCTGTTTTGATTTGCTGGGGTAACTCTGATATGTTTATATGTGTTTTTCAGTGTTAGGTGGAATGTATATATTCTAAAAGTCATCACGATGAACTTGAAAAGTGATTTTTTTTGTTTTGTTTTCCAAATATGAGGGAAATGACCACAAAGTAAAAAAGTTCAGAATATGTTTGAAGGTATGTATAATGGAATGAGGTATACAAATAACTGGATGATCCTGGGGAGAAATAGTAAATTGTTCAGTTTGACCCTTTGTTTGAGAACTTTTAGCAAAGAAAGTAAACACCGAATCATAGAATTTTAAGGGTTGAAATGGACGTTAATGATCATCTAGTTCCAACCCTCCCTGCCATTTGCAGGGACACCTTGCACTACACCAGATTGCTCAAGGCCTTATCTAACCTGGTCTTGAACACTGCCAGGGTTGGGGCAATCACAACCTCCCTGGGCAGCCTGTTCCACTGTCTCACCTCTTTCACACTAATGAAGTTTTTGTTAATATCTAGCCTAAATTTCCCCTTTTTCAATTTTTTACCCATTACTCTTTGAACTATCACTGCAGTTCCTGATGAAGACTCCCTCTCCAGCTTCCCTGTAGACCTTCTTCAGACACTGGAAGGTTTCCATGAGGTCTCCATGCAACCTTCTCTTCTCCAGGCTGAACAGCCCCAGCTTTCTCAGCCTGTCTTCATAGGGGAGGTGTTCTAGTCCTCTTATCAACTTTATGGTCCTCCTTCAACAATGCTATGCCCTTCTTGTGCTGGGGGCCACAGACCTGGACACAGCACTCCAGGTGGGGTTTTACAAGAGCAGAATAGAGGGGCAGAATCACCTCCTTTGAACTGCTGGCCATGCTCCTTTTGATGCAGCCCAGTATTTTGTTGGGTTTCTGGGCTGTGAGTGCAATGGACGATTCATGTTGAGGTTTTTTGTCAACTATTACTCCCAAGTCTTTCTCCGCAGGGCTGGTCTCAATCACTTCTCTGCCCAACCTGTAAGTAGGGCCTGGGACTGCCACAATCCAGGTGTAGGACCTGTGCTTTGTTGAACTTCATGAGGTTTGCATCAGCCAACCTCAACCATGTCCAGGTCCCTTCAGACATGGTCCCTTGGGACCTGGGCGGCAGTGTTTCATTTGAAAATTTGGGAAGGAGAAGGTAATCTGACTTAACTCTAGGAATTTTTTTATTTTTCCAGTCTATGACTCTTAGGTGTGCTTTTTCTCTCTAGGTTGACTTGATATGTTCTTCTGTAATCTCTAGAGAACATGCTGTATTAAATAGTCAGTATGCATGCCTTAGGTACCTGCAGACTATCTGCTGCTGCCAGGATATGCTGCTGCTGCTGCTGCTGCTACAGGGCTTGCTGCTGATCAGCACCCCAAATACCCCTCTACAAGGCTGCTCTGCAGCCACCCCTCTCCCAGTTTAGACATGTGTCTGGCCTTTCTCTATCCCAGGTGCAGAATCCAGCATTTCGACTTGTAAATTTCATGTCACTGGTGATTGCCCAGTGCTCCACTCTGTCCAGAGTCCCACTCTGCAGGGACTCTTGTCCAGCAAGAAAGTCAACCGCACCTCACAATTTGGTCTCGTCAGCAAATTTACTGATGGTGTATTCAGCTCTGGTATTCACATCATTCATAAAAGTGTAAACAGAACTAGCCCTAGAATTGAGCCCTGCAAGGCATCAATAAAGTAAACTAAGAGGTAGCTGCAAGTTTTCAGAAAGGACAAATGAATGATTTTGTGTCTAGAAAATCTGTCTTCAAATGAATCATATTATATGCTCAAAAATAGTTAAGAAGTGATTATATAAACTACCTAGGAAGAGGGTTTCTGTCATGAAAGAGATACGTATCTGTCAGATAAAGATGAAAGTTCATTTTATCAAAATTTAGACTAGAAATAGTGAAAAAAAAATTGGTAGTGAGAAAAATTTCTTTTTAAGCTTGTCCTACTAGAATATGATGAAGAGTCATTTTAAATATAGATCACATTTATTAAAGTAATTGACATGTTTTAGTGGTAACAGTTCTGCTTGGCTTATGTTATACAGTAAAAGTAAACAGAGATTCATTGTCCTCAATGACCGTACTGGTGAAATCTACTAAAAGAAATTCCAGCAACCAAAATTTGTCAGATGACCAAAAGATCCCACCAAAAAGATGGAAGCTTAGCACCAAAACCCATGGAATCAATGTGGCAGTGAGGAATGACTGTCATCTGTAATGCCACTTTTCTTTTTAAGTGCAGTTACTTCTTTTTAACACTGGTTCTCTGAACAAACAAGACCAGAAGTTGCAGGAACAAAATGAGAATTGTGTAGTAGTGGGAATGAGCAGCAGGCCATGTAACCTTGGTGTACAGTATTGCTGTGGACTGAGAATTGTGGAACAAGTAACTTAGCATTCAGATTTAGAATTTGAACGTCTATGGTCTTCATTGTTGGATTTTAGCATTATGTTAGAAAAGGAAGTTCTCTGACTACAGCATATAGCAAGTTGACCTCACTATGATCATCTTTTCAGCTTGCAGTTCTTATCATGTGGCATGCCTTTAAAATTTGATCTTTTCTGTGTGATTGAATATTTTGACCTCATAGTAGTTTCTACTGAAGCAAGTCAGCGAAGAAGTCAGACTCATTTAAGAAAAAACATTATTGCCAAGTAAGAGTATATTTTCTTCCCAATAACTGTGTATTTTTAATAATGTACTTAAGAAAAAAAATTGCAAAACTAATATTAAACAGTTAAAAGACTCCTCGCATTATTACAATAAAATACTTGTCAATTGCCCATAAAAAAAGAAGCTAATTTTGTATGTATGGTATAAATTCAAATACTAGCTGTAGTATTTTTCAGTTCACTTCCTGCTATACAGAGAGTTCAGCTAATATGAATAAATGATGTCACTAAAATTTTGGATAGTACTGTGAAATTTGAAGGAGAATAGAAAGGGCTCGTTAAAAATGTCTACACCAAGAATTATAATTGTTTTTAAAAAGTATAATGGTGGTTTCCATTGCTTTCACTTTGGCCGTTTAATGTAGCTAATTAATTGTATGCCTTTTCTTACTGTGCATCCCATTGTCTCTGTCATTTTTGTTGTTGTTTTTGCTCTTCTAGCCCCAGTTAAATTACACTTAGGTTTTTTTTTTTTTTTTTTTAATGTTGTTGTTACCAAACTGATAAAAATCAAAATATCTATTGTTACTAAAAAAGAAGAGAAAGGGAATGGGTGTGAGAAAATTTGTACATTTGCATTTGAAGACATTCTATTTTGTATTTTAGTTGTACTGTGTTTTCTTTTCCTTTTAAAAAGCAAAATTATTGTGAACAAATCTGCTTTTCCAAAGGCTGGATCCTGCAGTTTGTTTAACTTCTGACTTTCCATTTACTTTGACAGCTGGGAATATTCAGAGGGTACTGGCAGCAGTAAGGGTTGATGTCCTGTCCCAGTGAAGTTAATGGTGTAAAACCTATTGAATTACTTTGGTTTGAGATTTGATTCTGTGATTTCAGAGAGTTTAAGTTCTGTTTCTAATTCAATTCCTATTGCAAACTCTGCATGTCTCTTCCTGATCTAATAGAAAGGAACGCATATGAGGCCTTTCTTAAAACCATTTAGGGATTTTTTTTTTTTACTTTGTTAATGATATTTTTGTTCAGTCAGGGTTATTTTTATTTTCAATGCAGCTCACCAATAATTCTACTCCTTTGAGCTCATTCTGAGTAGCTTGGAAGGTAAAATGGACTTTGAGGCTGTGATCCTGCAATATATATGCAAGCAAAATGGCTTTCTGACCTCAAGGAGGTTTGTCTTCACTGGGACTCTGGAATAAGGCCTTGTAGTAGAATATATGCCCTAACTAGGAATAAAGCAGGCATTTCTATTGATCTGTTAGCAGTCTGTCAAAACTTCTCTGATCAGGCTTTTTTACTATCCCGTCTTGAGTCCTTTTTTTAATGACATCTATTATCAGATTGAAATGGCGATTGAGACACTGCAAAAGTCTGATGGTCTGTCCACTCACAGAAGCTCTCTTCTCAACAGCCATGTAAGTTGTCTCTTCTTCACATACACTCTCTCTTGCTTGTTCTGCATGCTTAGCCTGCCTCTAAATGTTTGTTTTATTTTATTACTACTTTTTGCTCTTAATCTTCCCATCTTAGTTGCTTGTAATCTTCTACTACACCTCCCATGGCTTTATTTTGTCAGATTAAATGTCTTTATGGTATATAGCAGAGTGTTACCTGTTTCCTATGCTCTACACCTGTGTTAAGACAAGTTAACACATTTGACTGTTCTGCAGGTTGTAGTGTAAATGTCAAGCTAAGGTTCAATTAATTCCAAAGTAGCTGGCTTTTGCCATTTTAAATAAAGTTGTCTACAAATTAAGATCTGTGTATGCTGCACTACTTTTGGGGCACGTGAAGAGGAAGAGAAGGAACAAACAGCACACCTAAATAATACATTTAGGTTATTTCTGGATTTTTTTTTCATTTATTCTCACTAGAGAGTTTATTATGAATTTATTTACATAAGAATCCTAAAGATCCTTATGATGACCTGGTAAAAATCGAAAACATTGCCTTAATTTGAAGCACACAGAAATGGCTTGCTCAGCTGCCTGTTACATTATTCTTACTTTTGCAAGTCTTACAGTTAAGAATTTCCATAAACAAAGCTAAAAGATATTTGGGAAAAAACACGATCTTCAAATATAGTGATAAGTAACTTTATAGTGATGTGTAGTGTTAAAATAATGGAAAAAGGCCCAAAGTCAATTTTAAACTTATTATATAAATAATAAAATTAATTTTTAAGTTTTTAGTCTTTCCTAAAATTTTTTTTCTGTTGATATTTTTGGGTTTGCATTTTGCATTTTTTTGCCATGTTAACTGGTTTATATTCATCTTACTACTTTTTTCCTTCTCAGCTTTACTTACTATGTAAATTCAAATTCCTTTGTTGTTTGCAGAAGAAATTCAAATTTAGTTTGCAGTCTTAATATAGATGGTAGAGATTGTCCCTCAGAAATCAAATTAAAAACTCATGTTTTAGCAGGATTGGGGGCTTTTTGTTTTTTTAGGGGTCTGGTTACGTCAAAGTCAGAAATAGAAATGTTTTGTGGAAAATATAGGCAAATTTTTTATTTCTTTAGAAAACCTAAAATTGGAACACTGTATACAGAGTATATACTTTTAGATTCCACCTGGTGTGTTTACAAAATGTTTTGAAGATAAGGCAGTGTCAAAATTATTATTTAAAGAGTAACAGTAATAGACAGATAATATCAAAATCATTGTTTAAATGTCATTTTTAAAGGTATCATACCGGTTTTTGTCACAGTTTTAAAAATCTGCATTAAGACTTGGAACACTAGAACTATTGGTAAGCTTATGTGTAATCCTGTTCCAAAGTCCATAATCTTGATATAAAACCACGAAAAGTTACAAGATAAGCTGCAGTGCCTCAGTAAACTGTGTTTCACTCAATTTTGGTTCTAGGCACTATTCACAATGTGTTCCTAATAATGAGATTTGCATCCAACCGTTAAGACTTATAATATTTCTTTCTTGAGTGTGAAGGTTTTTCAAAGTTATTCTGATAGGGATGTATCCTTGACTCTGTGGGGGAGAAAAAAAACAAACCAAACCAAAAAACACATCCTTGTACATATTTTTGTGGCAATAAGTATTTCCTAGTTTTTGGTCATTTTGAAAGAAGTTTTAGATTTAGATCAAGCATATTTGATGTTTTGGGTGTTTTTAAAGCAATGTTTATTGTCTTTAAGTCCAAGGACAGTATGGAGGAAATTTAAGTGGAGGTTTAGTCTTTGTCTCTTTAAACTTTTCTTGATTTTAACTTCTAATGGTTTGGTTTGGCATTTATTAAAATAATTGTCATAATAGATTTTTAAATAGAATCCTACATTTTGTGTTAAATTAACTTACACTTTGCTGATGATAATTTGTGGGGAAATTTTAGGTTTGGTATTGAAATTTCACTCTTCCTATGATACCACAATGAAGTTTTATAGGATTTTTTTTTCTAAATACATGAGTGCTCACTTTAAGGAGTTTGTTATTTCTCCTGTTTTCTTTTCTTTCTTGATTTATTTCTGTGTGAGATTGACTGACTTAATTAATTGATAGTTGAATGTTTTATAAACACTGCAGCCTAATTGAAGTTGCACTCAATTTAACAGTTCTGGCTCTGTAAATATTTCATACCTATCCCCCTACTACCTCTACAGCATAGTCAGTTTATTTAGTAAATTTTAAAGCCAGGATTCATACCTGAAAAATTTAAGAATTATATTTTAATTTGGTAGAAAAATGTTTGGATTTTTTAAAAAATGGTTTACAATAATGTTTGGAGATAGTTTTCTTTTAAAAACATGAATTAACTGCATTTTTTTTCCAGGTAATCCATCAAGTAATAATTTCAGGCCCTTGCTACTAAGCACAAGTTGTTATATTGCACTTGACTTTTGATTTGTTTTTTTTGTGTGTAGAATAATGAAAGTTATGTTCGAAATAACGTCTGTTAGAAATTCATATAATTAATGAAGTGCACTTGAAGTGATTAATAATAGGTTGGAAACCATCTGGTGAAAATGTCTTTAATGCTACATACAAAACTTAATTGCAAAATAGTTATTTTTTTGTTAGTCAGTCTTTTGGGATTGACAGAGTTTTTCCCTTTAGAGAAAACAGAAATACTTCACATTCCATATCTGTTCTGATTAAATTCTAAATGTAATAATATGTGAAAAATGTTATATAAAGGTATTAATAGGAATATAGATGCAATAACAGATTTTAAATATAGATAGATTGAAAGATATAATTACCTTTGTTTCTAAGCCCAGACAGGCTTACATTGGGTCATTAGTGAGAAAAGTTTAATACATCCAGACAAAAGTCAATTACACTTTTTCTTCAGCTTTGCTTCAAAAGGACAGATGCTCAGTTTGGAAGCACTTTTGAATGTTAAAATATAAAATAATGGTATGATAACTGATGATTACCTGTACTTTTTAATTTTGTTTATTTGAAATGCAAAACTACCTGCAAACCAAGCTAAAAATTTTACATGTTCAAAGCATTTGTATCTTACTTTTGTATTTTTCTAGAGCTTATAAAAATTCAGGGATCTAAAATCATGACAAGTACTGGGAAAAATAAGGAAAATATTAGCTTATCAGACAGTGGACTTTAAATGCATTCTCAAACATTATTGGTTTTGATTTATTTTGTCATTTTCCTATAATATTAAATCTAGGAGTGTTAAATTGTCATTTTTACTTTTTTTGTATGTTAGCAACAGCTAGAGATGTTTTATGAGTGTACTCTAAAAAATCCAGTGATATTACATGAAGTCTCTCCTTGCATGTATCTAATTACCTACCATAATTACATGAAAAGATTACTATTTTTCCAAGAAACTCATTCAGTTCCTCCTGGCAGTCAAAGGCAAGCAGGCTATAGCTGAAGGGGTTGGTACCCTTAACGATCTGTAGGTATACCAGTTATTTTCAACATTACCTAGGTTGCTCGTTGACTTAAATGCAGTAGCTTTTTTCTTAGGTTTTTTTACTAATGAGCAAAGAGAAACAGTACAGTATTCCAGATTTACAAATACATTAATTACCTATTTTTAGTACAAGGAGTTTCTTTTCTGCAATTTATGTGAATTAGATTCATGATTACTTTATTTCTTTGTGGTACTCACAGTTTGTCTCCAAAGCATAGATACCTTTATCAAGTATTGGTACTGAATCAAAAATCTTTTAGGAAATGGGTGCTTACCTGAGGTCAGAAGTGTAATGAGTTCTGCTACTTCTTGGTAATCTGAAGATTCTAAAGCACTATTGTGTAGCTAACCTTTAAGGATTCTCTGAAGAAGGAAGTAATTGTTCAGTAGGCCTGAAGAGTGGTTCCAGGACTGTCAGAAGTTAATATTGCACAGCTACGGTATTTTTAATGAAGTATATACTAATAAATCTTTTTTCTGTTTTGTATGTGATATAGCTTCAGTGGCTTTTAGACAACTATGAAACTGCAGAAGGAGTGAGCCTTCCAAGAAGTACCCTTTACAACCATTACTTACGGCATTGTCAGGAACACAAATTGGATCCAGTCAATGCTGCCTCCTTTGGAAAACTTATACGGTCAATCTTCATGGGACTGCGGACCAGAAGACTTGGAACTAGGTTTGTGTTATTGAAATCTGGAATTATAATAGAAAATACATGTAATGAGTAAGAAACTTCCCTGCTAGGGAAAGGAATAAACAAAACCTGCATTTAAATATTACAGTGTTTTTCTGTCAGTTCTATTTTTTAATGTTAAACAGTTGTATGCATTTTCAAGATGCTTTATAGTTTATTTCCTCTGTTTTTGACAGTTTATGTGTTTACTTTTTGGTAACTGCACTGCAGATTTTTAGCATCACAAATAAAACATAGTTTACCATTTAGAAATCACTAAGAATACTGTCTGTTCATAACCAGATAAGTTGGTTTTATTTGCATTTTATTTTTCTTACTCAAAAAGAGTAAGAAAAGTTAAAATGCTGATAATATTTGTTTGAGAAAGTGAATTGATTTCCCAAAGGTGGTAAAACGACACCCCTGTAAAATAGGTATGACGGGAGATACAGGCCTAATTTGTGTGTATTATTTTCCAGTCACTGTAAATTGTAAAGTAAATGTGATGTAAATCCATAAAACTAGTGTTAATGTTCTTTCAATTCTTGCTCTTTCATAAAGGGGAAACTCCAAATATCATTACTATGGGATTCGTGTCAAGCCAGACTCTCCTCTTAATCGGCTACAAGAGGACATGCAATATATGGCAATGAGACAACAACCCATGCAGCAGAAACAGAGGTAAAGTGTGAAATGAGCGTAACTACTTACTAATGTTTCTAGTTCATACAATCTTACTTTTCCTTATATGGAAAAGTTGAAATTCTGATGCAACTTTTGTTCAGCTTCTCTGCTGTGAAAATAAAACTTTGCTGGGTGTCCAGTTGATGTCAGTAAATTTAGGTACCAGTCAATGTAAAAGAATATTTACCTAGAAGTTGTCATCTGTTTGCAAAAAGGAAATAATAATAAAGTTACCTATAATATTAACAGACTCAACTATCTTGAGTTCTTGTCGCACAAGCTGAAGAAAAGCAGTAAGAGCTTGAATTTCAAATATTTCTGTTTGTTTTCATTGTTACATCATTTGGTATTTCTTTCCTCTTCCTGTGAAGAATTAATGTGACCGTAACAATCTGCTTGTAAGTTGATTTAAGTATTTTCCCTTAGTGTCTGTTGTTCCTGAGGAGCCTATGAAACACAGAAGTATTTGAAAGCAGTGGCACAGGGCTGTACTGGTGGTGAAAGAATGTCTAAATATGTATATTAGAAACCATATTGAACATAAAATTTTAGGGGGGAAAATGGAAATTAGTAAATTTATTTGAAATTAATTTTTATTTAACTTATGTCACTAGCCTCCCATGTTACCCTAAAGTAAAATGTATAAGATGCATAATTTCATGAAACTCATAGGTAGAAGAGTGGCGTATCAAGCAAGACACCTTTAGAGCTATTACCCCCCACAAAATCCAATTGAATGAACAGTTTGGCACTGTGTACCAAGCATATTTGGTGGCCTTGGACACAACTGAGATATGGAAAACACAACATCAAACTTTAATTTCAAACACAGAGATTGCTTTTATCTGAAAATATGTTACTGTCATTTCTAGAGGTAGTTACAGCACTGAATGCAAATTCATACTAAGGTATATGACCTTAACTATCTTTTACTGAGATCATATGGGAGTGTGGGATGTCTCACTGTCGCCGTTACGTTGTGACGGTCCAATAAAAAACACACGACAAGGCTGATTCAGGGCAACATAAGAAAAGGCCTCTTCTTTATTAAATCCCAGCTCCTTTTATATCATTTTCAAAAAACAGCAAGCAAGCAGCAATCAAGTAGTAAGCAAGTAGCAAGCAAGTAGTAAGCAAGCAACAACATCCTAATTAGCCACTCATCATTACTGATACACTTGGCAGCAATCGTGAGACACCTGTAGATGCCCAAGAACAAGGCTATGGTTCTCACATATCAAATCTATAGACTCCCAGTCCGCCCTCACTCCCCAATTAGCCTGTGTGTAAAACTTACTTATCTTCAAGGCCACACTTGAAAGTTTCCCAAGTCAGTCTCCTCTTCCAGGGAGCTAACAGACCCACTGTTAACCCCTACATTTCCCCGTTTTTGTATTTGTGCCAGGAAAATTGCCTGGGTTGTATTTTGCAGGGCCATTTGCAAACCGCCACCAAACATGGCAACATTACAAGCACAACTACAATCATCACTACAATCAAGATCTCTGTTTTGAGCAAAGACAGTAACCATTCCGAAATTCCCCAAGTAGACAACCACATCCGCGGGCAAGCAGCAGGAAGTCAATAGCAGCACGATTCTGCAGTGTAGTGTCTTACACTATCTACATCAGTGGCAAGTTTGCAATGCAGCTTAGCACAGAAGCATTACAAGCTTTTGTTGACGAAGTGGATAATCGTGTAACATTAGAAACAAGTTTCACTGGATCAGAGTTATTTACAGGTGCTCCAACAAGGCACATATGAAGAGGCAGTTCTGGTTGCCTCAGTGAGGCGCAGAAGGTAGTTTTGGTTCAGTGTTTTCATCAGGGTCACCCAGATGTTCTTGCTGTTTTGTGGGCTGAGGCTTTTGAGCTGTTCTGTGTAGGAGTCATCAGTGCTGGTCTCCCCAAGACAGAACACAACACACACACAGAGCAGAAACCCACAGCGGTCCATTATCTGTAGAAACACAAGCATAACCCTTTCCACAGGTTATCAGTTGATGAGGGCCGGACACTGTCCAGACACCAAGTCCTGCCCATGGACAGGAGCAGGAGCAGTCACAGCTTGAGAGGACACTAAAAAGGAAAAATGCAAAAAGAGGGCAGGAAAATGAGATTCTAAAGGACAAGTCAAAAAATTTAAAACATAGACAACTTTGTCTAAACGAGCCTGAGGAGAAGCACCCTGCATCTCACAATATGATTATGTGGAAAATTCTGTTACAAAAATCATCCAAGGATAATATTGTAAGAAAAGATGATAGATATTTACAAAATTTCCAACGAAGCTAATTTTAGGCACTTAATCTCGTTCAGAGATTTCATTCACTCACATTCAAAATTACATGTATGCACCAAGGCATATACCACAGTGATCTAACTAGAATTGTTTCTGGAAAAATTACACCAGTTATCTAAACATTGTCACATCTCTTTTCTTCTTAATTCACAATGACAAAGTGATATTGAGATTTCATTATGTAACTGTCAGGAGTGGATACTTTTATTTGCTTACATACTTCCCTTGTTTTCTTTACCTAGGTGTGTTTGGTGGCATTTTCTTAACTTTACGTCACTATGTTCCTTGATTATATTTGAATGAAATTACATATATGGCACTGTGTAGCAATTAGTGCATACTTCTCCTTTAACCCATGTTCTGCATGTGCACACACATACATGCACAAGCACACACCCATTCATACTAAAGGACTGGATATTGTAATTTGCATGATTATGGTAACATTGCTCTTTGGTCAGCTTTATTAATATTTCTAGCGGTTCTTTGTCTTTTAAATTGGTGGCAAATTGAAGTCAATGTATTTTTTTCTGTATAGTTAAACCAGTTCTACCATCTCTATTGGATGCATCTGACTGGATTGACACTTCCAGTCCTTTTTGGCAAAGGCTGTAGACTGAGTGTATGCTGCAGATCATTTTTCTTCATTCCTTTTCTTAATTTTTTACTTGCACCTTTTCTATTTGTGCAACATCAATATCCCAAAGCCCTCTTGTTCGATTTGAAGTCTTTTGTTATCCTCAGACAGTAATGCCATTTCTTCTTAAGGTAATGAAATATTATTTTTTAATTACAAAATTACTGGGAAATCAAGCTATTTGGAAAGGGAAGGACTTGATTCCTTTTGGTGTAAATTTGCTGGTCTTATGGTATGCTGTTACTAAGCTAAATTCCATCAGAAATTGCTAGTGGTGCTTTAATACCACCTTTATGAATTCTGTAATGCATTGTTAATATTATAGCTTCCTTTTGTGGTGGTTTCTTCTGTTATTGAAAAAATAAATAAAAATTCCTGAATTCTTCTGTTGCTTTTCCTCAAGATTTTGAGATGGAGAAATCATTCTCTATGATCCATTTATGAAGAAGTAAATAGAAAGGATAATTTTGTACTTGATATTTTTGTAGGTATAAGCCCATGCAGAAAGTGGATGGAGTTGCAGATGGCTTCACAGGAAGTGGTCAACAGACAGGCACATCTGTTGAACAAACTGTAATTGCCCAAAGTCAACATCATCAACAGTTTCTAGGTATGAAAGCAGGTTTTATACTACTATGTAAATAAGATGGGCTTCATTATCACTGTGAATATCAACTCACACAAGTACAGTAGTTGCTTCCAAGGTTATCATACCCTCTTTAAAATCCTTACAAGTGAGCAAAAAGGCACTTAAAGTACACATGAGCTTTATGTAAAATATAATATGCATCATGGAAGCATAAAAGGAAAGACATGCAAATTCTGTTTTTGTGAGATATATTTAATATTACATAAATGCAGTTGCTTTGCAAAGTTATGTTAAATGTGCATATTGAAATTCCTGCTTTGAAAGTTGTTTCCTGCATGTGCATTTCTGTGGATTTTATTTTATAAAAGGAGGGGTAGAGGGATGGCACTGCATTACTATTGCAGGTTAGCCATCCCGTGGGCTGCTTTGGTAGTGTGTTCTAGTGTTGTAAGTGGAAAGAGACAAATACTTTCAACTGGAACCACAAAGTCATGTTTAAAAATATCCAAATGGAACATTCTTTGATCCAGCTAAGCATGTATTGTAGTAATGGAAACAAATCGTAATTTAGTTAATTGTTTAAGTAAAAAGTGTCCTTGGCTATGTTATTAGAGAAGGTGTAGTCTTACTTGGCTGGGATTTTCAGGGACGAAATCCTTTGGCCCAATTCTACTTTTACTAAAACCATTTGGAACATAAGGGTAGCACTGAAGTGTTTTGAATCTTCCTTTCTGGGTACCTTTCAACCCAGCATTTTTATCTTATTAGCTTGTCTCTTGGAAACGTTTGTGACAAACAGTAAAAGCACACATTGTCTCTACTTGAAAGTCTAGTAAATGTCAAGTAAAAACGTATATTGAGTCTATTAAGCCCCATGACACCTGACTACATAGAAACTCTTCAGTTAAAAATAAAAAAGTAATTCAGTGATTAATCTTTCATGCATCGGCTTAGATATTTTCCTTCATCCTGTAATAGTTTTTAAAAGTGCATGTTAGCTTCTCTATATAGGTGTAGTATGTACGTTACATGTTTTCAATGTCTTCAAGAATAATTTTGCGTTTCTTTTTTATTAAAAAATGCTGACTGAATTTATTTATGATTTTAGCATACAAGTGTGAAAAACTTTCCTCTTTGAATATTATGACCTTTTGGAATTTATTTCTTTGTATAATCCTTGAGTTTTTTTCTTAATTGTACTGTGACTGGCACTGTTCACAACAGCCCTCTTTCATTATGTTATCATGACAACAGATGCATCTCGAGTACTGCCAGAGTTTGGAGAAGTTGAAATCTCTTCTCTGCCAGATGGTACTACCTTTGAGGACATCAAATCACTACAGAGTCTTTATCGAGAGCACTGTGAGGTATTTCCTACAAACGATTTCTTTCTGAAAGCCAGTACAAGACAATAAAGCCAAATATTGCAGCCCTGATACCACATACCACAAGTGGTATGTGACTTTCCCCCAGGATATTTTATTTATTTAATTGCAAAAGGTGGCAAAAAGGTTTCTCTGGAGGGTCCCTTTGACATGTTATGTGTGTATGTTTTCAGAACGTTAGAGAAATTAGACTATAGACTGTACATGCAGATCTTTGGTTTAGTCAATAGGAAATGGTAGTCAGGTTGAATTATAATTATTTTTTTAACATTAAAAGCAGTAAATTTTTCTCATTTGGAGAAACATCAAGAAATTTAAGCCACATTTGATACTGAACAGTATGTCTTTTAGAATTATTTTTAGGTGTTTTCAAACCTGCATGGAATTACGGAAGTGAATAAAGTGTGAGGTTTCCTTCTTTCTTTGCAGTAGCAGTAAATATTTTCAGAGGTAAAATTCCCCTGGTATGTTTACATAGACCATACTAATTTCTGGAGTCTTCCATGCTTGTGCACTAAGCCTTATTGAAGTGTCTGTGTGTAGCAGTTTATAGTGATGGATAATTTAACTTGAGAAATGTACAGTTTTTCTTTGCTCCACTACATGATGAAGGAAAAAAGCTATAGATCTAGCTGGAGTTAGAAGTGGGGGGAGAAGCTGGGTACAAGACAATATGATCTCATGTTTTGTTTTCTCAGGCAATACTGGATGTGGTTGTTAATCTTCAATTCAGCCTGATAGAAAAATTGTGGCAAACTTTCTGGCGCTATTCTCCCTCTGCTCCACCTGATGGCACTCCTGTCACTGAACCAAGGTCAGTAAATGTTTTATTTTGTTTAATGTGTCTCATGATAATATAATGCAAGTGTGGGGAAAAAAACCTAATTAGTTTTACTTGAGTGGTAATAATTTTTTCTCCTGTGATAATCTTCCAAGTTAAATTTATGTTGTGTGGCATTTTTGTATAGCTGGGGTGTATGCCAAAGGTCAATATTGGAACAGTTGTGCCATCCATTGGGTTTTTTGCATGGAGAACTACAGTAAAGGTGTCTCTTCCCAGTATTCAATCCATTTCTTTTATGCCAAAAGGATCATCCATACGTCTGCACAATTTATGAGCTGCAGGAGAACTGTGGAGCATTTCTTAAATCCATTTCCATTTGACATAACATCTAAAGAAGTTATACTGGGTGTAGCTGAGAAAACTATGACATCTTTAGGAAAAAATACATTTTAACGCCCATTTCAGATTTTTACTTACTGTAAATCGTGGAATAATAGAAACTTTAAGGTCAGAAAGGACCTCTAAGATCTTCTAATTCAACTGTTAACTAGCACTGCCATGTTAACCACTGAAACATGTCCTGAGGTGCCACATATATGCGTTATCATTTATTCTTTTTTTTTAACACCAGCAATCTGAGTGAAATAGAAAGTCGACTTCCAAAAGCAAAGCTGATTACTCTGTGCAAGAATGAGTCTATTCTGAAATGGATGTGTAACTGTGACCATGTGATGTACCAGGCTTTGGTGGAGATTCTCATTCCTGACGTCCTTAGACCTATTCCTAGTAAGTTAAACACCTAAAACATTTTGTAAGGATTCTTCTGCAAGCATGTATATGGTGGAAGTGTTCTGTTGCCTCACAGAACAACTTAAGGAATAAGTTTGGAAGTTACAAAAATACTGTGTGTCATTTATCCCTAATTTTGTTGTGTAAGAAATTATACTGAGAATTGACATATGCTTTGTATTTGAAATGTACATGAGGATTTTAGTGCAGTTGGAAGATCTAGTTTTCAAGATATAGTTTCATATTAAAGGTCCTTCTTTCTCTGCGTATTATATCTTCAGGTAAAAATATATTCCTTTTACCCTGGCTCTAGGCTGCCTGATAGAAGTCCTGTGTCTCTGAGACAATATGCACTAATGTCAGTCAGTCATTCCACTACATTCAGTAGTTTTCAGTTTAAACATCACATATTAAACTTCAATTGGTCTGGGAAAAATGTGAGTTTTGTGATTCCATGTTTGGACAATTAGTCTTTTGGTCCTTATCAGGACTGCTGAAATCAATTCTAATGTCTGTTAAGGCAATGAAAAATTAGCTCATAAATTTTTAATCCAATTTGTTATTCCCTCCTACTGTTCTTTCTCTCACAAATCCTGCATGAAAGAGTCAGTATTTGTCTAGTCATTCTACCACTACCAGAAGTACAACTTTCTTTACAAATTTAATTTTACTGGAATCCATCATTGCTCCAGCAGTGGATTTTTATGGCTATTTTTGGTAGAAAAAAAAATTGTGTTAAGTTAAATTCCTTAAAGTATTTATTATCTCCCATATGCTCTCCTAGATATTATAACAAAATCACATTAACAACTCACTATAAACCTCATAACTCCTACATATTGTTTCCTACTGAAAAAACAGTATTCACTTTATAAAGTTGGATTGATTTTTTTAAAAAAATTAGAGCCTTAAGTAGTACTGCAACTAACTAAAGCTATTTTGTCATGCTGTGAACACCTCTTCTTCTATAGTGACTCCAGCAGTATATGCAATTCATAAGAATATTTGCAGGTACTGTCTGGTAAAAAGTTTTACTGAGTCCTTTTTTGTCAGTGGAATTTAGGTTTTAGCAAATTATGTACGATGCAATTTTTTTTTAAACTTGAAATGTATATAATCCAAAGGTTTACCCTTTACAAAGCTAGTTTTACCTTTTTTTCTTAAGAAAGAGTAAGTTCTTGGTAGAGATTGACATAATATATCTGTGAATCTGTGTAGGAGAATAAAGGAAAAGTGTTTCCTTAAATACATGCAATTATTGACAACCATTACTTGTATAAATTATTTTGCATTTGCTTATATTTAATGTTCTACTTCTCTAATTACAATGCCAGTAGATAAGATTTTAGAGTAATATATTGTATCACAAGCGGTTAGGCAATGATAAAAACTACAAAAATATAATTGCAACATTTAATAGGTAGAATTAAAACTCACACTTGCAAAAGCACATTCATTTCTGAATAAAAAGGTGATGCAAACAAGCTTTTTCATCAAGCTTGCTTTTCATCTTCCTTTTCAGTTGCTTGTACTGCACAGCCTGGCAGTGTCTACAGAAGTGTTTAATTGACAGCTATGTAGCTTTCGGTGTTCCTGCTTTGTTTCATAAGATGCATTGTGCATTGCCAGTACAGGATTTCAAGAAAATAGGACACAATCATTTAATATCAATAACTACAGGCATCATGTCCTTTCCATGCTATTTTCTTATTTTCTAGAATTACCAGTCATATCTGAATAATTGATACCTACTGGGTTTGACATTCCTGTTTTGGGGATGATTATCAGACTATTTCATGCAAACACATCACAGGATAAATATTTCCCAAGAGACTTCTGCCTCTGTTTTGTAAACAGTCTAGTAGTTTTTGCTCAGAAGTCCACTACTGAGCTACGTTTAGAAGACAGCTAATGTATTTTCTTACTTTGTCTTTAGGACCAGCTAACTAAATTTTTTTTTCTGATCAGCTTTCCTGTAATGATGGTCCATCCAAGTTTTTTTTTTTTTTTTTTTAACTCCTTCCGTAGAGTAAAAGCATCTCCAGTCATTACAAGAGATCAAGAGTATGGCTTAAGGTTGACTATGACAGTAATGGTGCTGGGTGAAGTAGATAAATTCATCACCCCTGTGGAAAAGTTGGCAGAGTTATGGAGCAGATCATCCTGTGTGCAATCACACAGCAGCTACAGGATGGACAAGGGATCAGACCCAGCCAACATGGGTTTAGGAGGGGCAGATCCTGTTTGACCAACCTGATCTCCTTTTACAATCAGGTGACCCACCTGGTGGATGAGGGAAAGGCTGTGGATGTGTCTATCTGGACTCCAGCAAAGCCTTTGACACTGTCTCCCATAATATACTCCTGGAAAAGCTGCAGCCCATGGCTTGGACAGGGACACTCTGTGCTGGGTCAGGAACTGGCTCGAGGGCCGGGCCCAGAGAGTGCTGGTGAACGGGGCTGCATCCAGCTGGCGGCCAGTCACCAGTGGTGTTCCCCAGGGATCAGTGCTGGGACCAGTCCTGTTTAACATCTTTACTGATGATGTGGATGAGGGGATTGAGTCCACCATTAGCAAATTTGCAGATGACACCAAGTTGGGAGGGAGTGTCGACCTGCTGGATGGCAGGAGGGCTCTGCAGAGGGGTCTGGACAGACTGGAGAGTTGGGCTGATTCCAGTGGGATGAGGTTCAACAAGGACAAGTGCCGGGTCCTGCTCTTTGGCCACAACAACCCCCTGCAGTGCTACAGGCTGGGCACAGAGGTGCTGGAGAGCAGCCAAGCAGAAAGCGATCTGGGCATTTGGATTGACAGGGAGTTGAACGTGAGCCAGCAGTGTGCCCAGGTGGCCAAGAAGACCAATGGCATCCTGGCCTGGATCAGGAACAGTGTGGCCAGCAGGAGCAGGGAAGTGATCCTTCCCCTGTACTCAGCGCTGGTGAGGCCACACCTGGAGTGCTGTGTTCAGCTCTGGGCCCCTCAGTTCAGGAAGGATATTGAGGTGCTGGAGCGGGCCCAGAGAAGAGCAACGAGGCTGATGAAGGGACTTGAGCACAAGTCCTATGAGGAGAGGCTGAGAGAGCTGGGATTGTTTAGTCTGGAGAAGAGAAGGCTTAGAGGTGACCTCATCACTCTCTTCAGCTACCTGAAGGGAGGTTATAGCCAGGTGGGGGTTGGTCTCTTCTCCCAGGCAACCAACAATAGGACAAGGGAACATGGGCTCAAGCTCTGCCAGGGGAGGTTTAGGTTAGATGTTAGGAAGAAATTCTTTACAGAGAGGGTAATCAGGCATTGGAACGGCCTACCCAGAGAGGTGGTGGATTCACCATCCCTGGTGGATCTTTTTTAAAAAGAGACTGGATGTGACCCTTAGTGCCATGCTATAGTAATTGGAGTTGGATCAGGGGTTGGACTTGATGATCTTGGAGATCTTTTCCAACCTAATCTATTCTATGATTCTATGATTCTATGAAAAATAGCAGTTGATAGGAAAGTTTGGGCTCTATAGAGGAGCTGGGACTGTAAATGCTTCATTTAAGATGTGGGTTTTTTTGCCTGAAAGATGGAAAGATAGCAGCAGCAGCTGCTCAAAATAGGGAAAAATATTAATTTGGAAAGGGCTTGAAGAAAGCATGTGATTTTTTTAAGTTTTTTTTTTTTAATCTGGATTTTCAATGTTTTTTCTTTTAGGTAAGTCTTACTGTGTTACCCAACTGTGTAATACATATTCCTGAAATAGAAAAGAAAGACCATTGAGGAATAAAATTATTTTATTTTTAACCTCTATGTTAAATTTTTCAGCTTAAATATTTAACACACACAGAATGAATGAAGAATTGCTGTGTATAAAACAGCAAAATTCCTTTTCCTAGGAAAAGTGAAATGCTGTGTCCATTTGAGTCAGGAATAAAGACCATAATTATCTAGTGTCTTTGGCAAGGTAGACCAGAGGTATTATTTTTAGAATGGAATTTTTGCATCTTCACAAGTGACAGAATGGACAGTAACAAATTTGAGCTAGTTGCTATCATAGGCCAAGAATTTATGCAAAACATACTTCCACACCGTATTACTCAATTCCGGACAGACAAAAATTTAAAGTACTGTAAAGTATTGGAAAGACTGTAAAGCCTAGTTTGTGCATGTCATAGGGCTTTTGGTTCAGAAGTCAAGATTTTTAGGTGCTTATCCAAATCAAACTTTCAGTTGCCATTGCCACATCATTTAGTGTGTGTCTCGTAACATTTAGTGATTTCCTTTGCACCACACTTGTCATGCAAAGATTCTTTAAAAGAGTTTTCTTGATTTTCTGTGATAACCAGATGCACTTAAAGGATTCAAGGACGTAGGTAGTTCAGGTTTTGGTAATGGTGAGATGTGTGCTTAAGGATAGAGTATGAGACAAATTCTGTATTTAATACATCTCCAGAGCTCATTAGAAATTTGTGATTGTTCTACACAATACTGAGGCCTGATTATCTATTTTAGCTGTTTTATTTCTTCAGAGGTTAGAAATTCTTTCATTTTTTCATTTTAATTCCTCGTTAAAGGCCTTTCTTAAGGCCTGAGCTGCTTTTTTGTATTTATTTTTAAAGGACATCAGCATCAGTGATGTGAATGATTTTCTAATATATATTCTTGGGTGAAAAAGAGTAATAAATGGATTAGAAATGAAAAAGCAGAAATATTTTCCTTAACTAAGCACCATTTATACAGTATTTACGTTATTACTTCCATTTTGCATTTTCTTGTCTTGTAGGTAAGAAAATGTAAATAAATACATAGTCAATTAGTAAGTGCACAGAAATAATTTACGAAGCAGCACAAGTGAGCTAGGTGATTGACAGGCTTGAAGAAAAAAGGTTTTTCTTCCCGTGTAAGCCTCAAGGGAGAAAAAACCTGATACCATAAGAGGGCTCAGCTAATACCGATACTTTGTGGTAGATACAAATTGTGGTCAGCTAAGCGTCTGAATGTGTGGTGAATTATATGAATTACCAGTCTGGATTCTACTGCTTATCACTGCAATTTTGAAGACCTGTGAAAAAGAGATCACAAAGAATACAGATTTTATTTTAGTAAATTTACTTTTCTGTTAAAGCTTTACTTAAAAAGGTATTATTAAAAAAAGATTTATTATAAAAGGTATTCTTTCCTTTGGTTTTTTCCTCTTCGCTTTTGTAGTTGCATTCATTCTCTACTAGTCTTCAGAAAGCTGTATTTTTTGTGTCCTGGTTTTTGCAACAGTTTGAGTGGATGCTATTATGTCAATGTGTGAGGTGTGGGAAAGCAGAGTTTCTACGACTAAGACAATATGATTTTCTTTTTTGCAGGCACAGCTCCTTGGGACAATATTTTCTGTCCTTCTCCTTCAAAAAAGACAAAACTTCTGTTTTTAGTAGTGCAGATTGCTGTAGGGGCTTGTTCAATTTGTCTCTGAATCTCTGTCAGCCTCGCAGCATTTCTGTGGGTGCTATAGAAAAGAAACAAAAATGCAGACAGATTACATAGTCATCTGAATAACCTCACTTTCTGTCAGTGAAGCACTCTCCTATATCTTGCTTATTGATGATATCATTAAGCACTGCATGTTGGAATTTGTTCTTTAAAACTGAAATAAGCAGCGCTATCACATGGCTTAAGGTTACTTTATACTTTTTTGAGGAAACTGCAGTATTCCATCATCTGGATTTTTCCCCAAAGTTTTCCCGAAGAAAACTTCCTCCCGAAGAGTTTTACTTTTTAAAAGAGGTGCTTAGATGAAATGGAAAGCTGTAAGTTAGTGATGGAAATTTCCATCACATCTGCTGCAGTTACTGTTGTTCTTCTCTAGGAGTGCCCAAAACAATAATGGCTGGTCACAAACTTCTTAAAAGATTGTTGGTGGAGATGTTAGAAATGCTTATTAAACCAAAATTAAAATCATTATTGCATGATCTTTATCTCAATGAGGCATTTTGAACCTGAACTAGATTTGTCTTTTAGAAACTAAAAGCAGTGGACCTGAATGTTGAATATGGGAGTTCTGAGGATGCAAAACATTCCAGTACAGGTGCACTGCTTTCTTTTCATTCTGTTTTTATTCTCTAATGCACAGGTGCCTTGACCCAAGCCATTCGCAATTTTGCAAAAAGCCTTGAAGGTTGGCTTTCAAATGCCATGAACAATATTCCACAGAGGATGATACAAACCAAGGTAGACAAAACTGTTGCCATATTATTCTTGCAATGGCAAACCAAGTAGGCAGTAGCATCTTAACTTAAAAGCAGTAGCATTTTAACTTTAATGCTAAATTTCATGTTTAGCATCATGCATCAAATAATGGGAGAGGAAATAAGATTATTTGATTTGCTACATGGATTTATTTGCTACATAATTCAAATATGAGGACTCATTAATAAGGACTATTGAAATGCAAGTAAAGGTTCAATCTGTAGAATTAATCTACAGATACAGAGTATGATATTTAAAAACAAATAAATTTCTTCATAGGTTGCCGCTGTAAGTGCCTTTGCCCAGACTCTGCGAAGATACACATCTCTTAATCACCTGGCTCAAGCAGCTCGTGCTGTGCTTCAAAATACTTCTCAAATCAACCAGATGCTCAATGATCTTAACCGTGTTGATTTTGCCAATGTTCAGGTAAAATGTAGTTTTAAATAACAGGTGCCTTTTTTGTGTGTTATTTCTCCTGTGATTTTGGACTTTATTTTTAGCTGTCATTCGTTCAAGAAAATAAAGTGGAAACATTTTGCTCATTCATATATGTAGTGATTCAGTCCAAGTGTGATGACTTACACTTTAGGAAAGTAAGAGCTCAAAATCATTTTGTGTTTCCATTTACTGTCTTGAAACACACATATTCTTCCAACTTCTCTAGAAATGTTAAGCAAATACATTCTTAGAATGGGTACCATGAATGATGTCATAATAATAGCAAAACATATATTTTAGGGTAAGATCTCAGTATATCTTCTGCACATCTCTTAAACCTATTACATGTACAACATTTTCAGTAGTGACTGCCTCCATTATTTAAAAACCCATACCATTAGTATATTTTATTTAAGTACCTATGCTTAAAATTACAAGATCTCCTGAATAATGGATTAGGTTAGTACAGATGAGAATCTATAGAACAGAAGTTTATATTTTTACTAAGCTTGATTTCTGTACAGGTTTCTGCTCCTCTGAGAAAAAATATTTTCATCCTTTCAGCCAGCAGAGTGAAAGGTTTCATATTCCTGGTAGTGCTCTGTTTCTCTCTTTTCTTTGTGAAGGAGTGCTTTGGTATTTGTTAATAGTCTTAACAGAAGTCAGTCAAGAGTTCTTGACCAAAGACAAAGTATATTAAGTATGGATGGACATGGATGCAGAGCCTGTGAATGAGGCGATAACTTGGCACGTGACAGCTAGAGCCTAAGGAGGTGGCTTGTAATTACTGAGCCCTCATTTTTGTCTCAGTTTCTTGATCAGCTAACTTTATTTAAGTTTGGTAACACTGACTAAATTGTTGATTATTGGATGCATAGTGTGTTTCTCCATTTGTGTGCAGTTTATGCTGTAATCCAAGTAATGTGTGATCTATTACTGCCAAAAGTCAACCAACAGAACAATTCATGTTTTCATATGAAGTTACTTTTATAATACAGAATTTGCCCTTAAGCTTACCTTCTTCAGAACAAAAGGAACCTTGCGCTTGATTTCTTGCTACTACTTGTATTACTTTAGCCCCCCCTACCTGAAGTCCCAGAAAAAAAAAGACAAATCAAGAATATATCAGTAGAAAAATGAGGAAAGTAGAAGCCTTTCTTGCAAATGAATGTGGAAAACTACCACAAACTTGTGTTCTTCCATTGTTTTTTCTAATTTCTGTATTTGTTGTCTGCCCTTACATGCTATGCTTTTCCTACCCATTTGCTTTCAACAAAGTTACAACAGAACATAAAAATAAAAACTACTTCTTTTTCTAGTAAGTGGATTTTGTCCTTTTCACCCATTGAATAGCTTAATCTTTGGGATATAATTACATTGTGTGCTCTGGCTTATGTATTGTCAATTCAAGAGTTGCCATGTGCTGTAACAGGAGCAGGCTTCCTGGGTGTGCCAGTGTGATGACAACATGGTTCAGAGACTAGAAACAGATTTCAAGATGACTCTTCAACAGCAGAGCACTCTGGAGCAGTGGGCTGCCTGGCTTGATAATGTAATGATGCAAGCGTTGAAACCATATGAAGGAAGACCCAGCTTTCCTAAAGCAGCACGGCAATTTCTGTTAAAATGGTCTTTCTACAGGTAGTATTTAATAGACTTCTGAAAGATTCTGATTGTTTTATTATTTGCTTAATTGTGCACTGTAGTAAGGTTGGCAAACGTAATACTAAACAGTGGCTTAGTACATTGTGAAAAACATGGGGCTTTTTTCAGAGTATTGTTGTTGTTAAACTTGAACTCAGCGATCTGCATATGAGCAGGGACTTAAACAACCGTTGTTTATTGTTTTAAAGGCCATCCCCAAAGGAGTGCAGGTGGAATTTTGTCTGGAGTTAGAAACATAATATGAAAATTTTTGATTGAATAACTACACAATTATTAAGCCACTGGTTTTAGTGTTATTTATTAAAACATTGTGACATCTATGTTAATTAGGTAAGGAAGACAAAACCTGCTTTTAATATATGAAAAGAACATTAAGACAAGCATTCCATGTTAGCTGCTTATTGAAACAGTTATCAGAGTAAACCTTGTTCTTTGAACATAACTGTAGCAACTGCTTGCTGAAGATATCTGAATTTGTCTGTATAATATTAGGATGCAAGTCTATTTCTTGTAGTTTTAAGTTTCAAAGTTTTCAAAGTTTTAAGTTTCAAACTAATTGTGGCAATTAAAACCTTTATCCTGAGAAGGTGGACACAACAGACACTAGTTCAGCAATAATTTGGTTTTAAAGTCAAATATTTTTCTTACCATTTTAGTTGTTTATGTTTACAACAAAGTTTCTTTCAAGTTAAGATTTACACTTACTCAGGTATTGGTAGTTATGCAAAGAAGACAAACCAGTCTGGTTATCTCTTTTGTAGTTTGGTGTCTGACAGTACCTTCAGAGAAAGAGAAAAATTATTGACTTTCCTGGTCACCTCTTTCCAAAGATACCATAAATGAAACATTTGTGGATAATGTTACTTTTGAGAATACTGGTTTTGAGGTGAAATGTGTACATGGATAAATGTTAAAATGGCTGTGAAATATAATACATAAATATATATATTTTTTATTTTTGAATAGCTCAATGGTGATTCGAGATTTAACCTTGCGCAGTGCTGCTAGCTTTGGCTCTTTTCATCTGATCCGCTTGCTTTACGATGAATACATGTTTTACTTAGTAGAACATCGTGTTGCTCAGGCAACAGGAGAGACACCTATTGCAGTTATGGGAGAGGTAAGATAATATGTAAGAGACTAGACTGATAGATTTAGTGATGAATTTGGGAAGTATCTTTGCAAATTTTTAAACATTTTTGTGGAGTGGTAGGATGTTCTGCAGTTTAACAATAGCTTGGGTTACAAATTATACAATAGTTTCAAACTTGTTTCACCAGTTCATTAACAGAGTACTAAAACCATATTGAATTCTGAAAAACAATTATTTCTAAATGAATTTGCTCTTTTTCAAATCTGCACACAGATTCATGTGAACAGTTTGAAAAATGTTGATCAATGTACAGCCTTTTCCAGTTTTCAGAACTGAATATTTTATGTGGAAATAAAGAGCAGAATAATAGGAAAATTTTACTTCTGTGGATCTGTTTAAAAGCATTTACACATGTTTTGAATTCCCACACAAAACTTATGCAGAATTTTGGCCTGTACAGTACTGTTCACATACATATAATAAAACCAGCACAGACGCACATAGGGGTTTACAACACATCTGATTTTCATACATGTGTTTCAAAGATTACTGGTTTAAAAAACAGAACTAGAGTCTCAATTCATAATTTTTTTTTTATTATCTATGACATCTGCAAGGCAAAGTGTATTTTATCCTTCTTCTTTCCAGTAGTCCATCTAACCTTATATTTTGAGTGGCTAGTGGGCTAGTGAGAAATACATTAATTGTTACCAAAGAATTATGGTTCAAAAGTACTGGAAAATGGATATATTTAAAAATATGGTAGTTAATAGGATGGATTTGTTACATTTTTACACTTGGGAGTCACTATCCTATTCTATGTTACTGATAAATTGCAAGTCATTTTACTAGCTGATTTGGCAACAGTTATTCTTCCCTTGGGATAAATTGATAGCTTCATTAAGTACTATAAATAGACTATATACTTTCAAGAGAAATTGGAAAATGCCTCAACTTTATTTGTCAAATGATTTTATATTATGTGTCATGTTTCAGAAAAACTAAATAACAACATTTCTGCTTAGTGACCACCATCAGTATACATGCTCTTACATTTCTTGCCTACTTTTACTTTGCAGTAAGTGCTACACAAGTATATAGTTACTATATTCTTGTTGCCTTAACAGACTTGTATGTGCTAGACATAAATGTAGCATAAGGTCTTCTAAAAAGTTCATGAGACTGAAGATGGAAATACAGTAAGGAAGTATTGCAAAACTTTTGGAGGTGAGGTGATGAGCAAAATAGAAGTAATGCATTAAATGCATTACTGTATATTTCTGTGAATTCAGTGGCTGTATGGCTGAAACAAAAGAGGAAGACTAGAGTCCCAATAAACACTGTAAGACAATATAGTGTTGCAGCTGAGAAAAGCATTCTCATATTTCTCCCTTCCTCTTCTCCCACCTTTGGACACAGATATTGGCAAAATTCTTCTGAAGAAGACTGGTATCATTATTTTTGGTTAGAAATGTGTTTATCTAAATAGTGTCTCCTTTCATTTGAGATTCATTGGTAGCATTTTGCTAGGTTCCTAGCTTATGAGCAACTAGTTTAAAGAGATCTGGATTTTGGTGTAAATCAGCTGTCAGGTTAAAAACCCTTTCTCAGCAGTGCCTTTCATCTACCTTACAGGTAGATTAGCACCTGTGACATACCTTCATTTTTGTTCCAGCATAATTAAAGTTGTCTCTGGGAAATTTTAAAAAAAGGTTTTTGTTAAAATATTGGCAGTTCAGAATGTATATCAATCATAATTTCTGGCTTTATAAAGCACAGAAATAGCTCGCTTCAAGCAACAAAGGCCCTTAAGAAGCAATCTTTTAAACTGTTTGTACTTCTCTGTTTTAATTTTTGAGGGTTTACTTAGTGATAATTGTCTTAATAAGCGCAAGACTGAGATGGAATGGGAGCAAAATTGGTCTGCTATGGATGTGGTTGCAGCTAAGATCATGTGTTTGAATGCTAGTGTGAAACCAATGGAGCACAGATTTGCTACATCATAGATATCCTAAGTTCACATTTGCTTAAGACTGTCCAGTTTTTTTATTGTTTATTTCACAGTTTGGTGATTTAAATGCTGTGTCCCCTGGAAATATGGATAAAGGTAAGCATTTTAATATCTCCAGTTATAATTCTTTGTAGAGGTGGTGTGTCTCTGAGCAAAAGAAGTCCTTATGTCTTAAAAACACAGTAAAACCGAGTTTAGAGCTTTATCATCCTCTAAAGTGCATGTATGTGTTATATAGATATGTTATTATATGGATACGATAGCTGTCAATGTAATATGTCACATGTAACGATGACTAGATATTATAGGTTTCTTTTCAAAATAAGAACCTTATTTTAAAGATGTCTTTTAAAGTCTTGGGCAAAATTTTCTTGTACCTGGTAGAACAGAGGAGAGTAACAGCTGCGGGAAGAAAGACAAGAGTATGCTTTTGTGTATTTAACTGTAGTGAATGTTTTGCTAAGCAAAGAGGGCAGAATTGTATCCAAATATTTAGAAAGGAATGAGTTCCTTATAACCTCTTCATGCCATTTTTTGACCAACATTCTTACCCTGACTACTTGAGTGATTTGGGGTGACTTAACCTCAGAACACTCAACTAGTGAGTATAAGAATGTATGTCAAAATTTGGGATCAAGTCACCACAAATCTCCTTACCTCTGTTTCCCAATCTGTAACTAACAGTAACAACTCTTTTGGTCATCCTGTGTTAGAAATGAGGTATTTTGCAATATGAATTTAATATGAATTTGTTGGAGCTTTTCTTTGAGATTGCAGTTGTTTTTTCCACGTACTATATCAATAGTGTGTAACTCACATGATCAAAGCTGAGAGCCCATTTACCTATTTGGGATGATAGTTGACCTTTTCCATTAAAATTTAAAATTTTCAATTTCTGCATTATCAGATTGCTAGTCTTCCTTGTATTTTTGTATTTCAACTATTATTTGCAAAATAAAGATGCTTGTATTAGAATTTTTCCCTTTGTGCTAGTTACATGGTGGTTTGTTTGTGCAGATGAGGGCAGTGAAGTTGAAAGTGAAATAGATGAAGAGCTGGATGAAAGTGGAGAGCCACAAGCCAAGAGAGAGAAAACTGAGCTAAACCAGGCGTTCCAGGTGGGCTGCATGCAGCCAGTGCTCGAGAGTGGAGTACAGCAGAACCTCCTGAACCCAATGCATAATGAGCACATTGTTACAACTACTCAGACTATCAGACAATGCAGTGCTACTGGAAATACATATACTGCAGTCTAATGTGAAACTTCCCTCGCCTCTGACACACGCCCCATTGCATTAGTCCTTTAGGTTTAATATGAAAAAACTAAAAAAAACACCTAAAAAACTAAAAAAAAAAAAAAAAAAAAAAAAAAAAAAAAAAAAAAAAAAAAAAAAAAAAAAAAAAAAAAAAAAAAAAAAAAAAAAAAAAAAAAAACCTAAAAAAAAAACTAAAAAAAAGAAAAAAGATAATAAGTCTGAAGGTTGACTGTTGTCAAATTTAGCTGTTCTGATCATTATTTTGTTGGAGTGTTAAATGGAATGGGTGTATGTTTGTCAGAAAAAAAAGATAAATTTTTTTTGTAAACAGATTCATTTTACATTGGCCACTCAGTAGCGAGGGTTTTCTTCTTATCAAATGCAGAATTTTTGCAAAGCTTAATGTTAATGTTTTGTCCTCTTATAATAATTTAATTTTTTTCATAGTTTTTAAAAAAATATTTTAATGTTAATTATTAGTTATGATGCTGATTTCATATAGATAGGTTTTTAATTAGATGCACTTCTGTGAAATATCAAAAGAACTATTTTCTTTGATTTACACTGGAGGCATACTTATTTGACAGCAGATGTATCAAATTTGTTATAAAAGGTGCTTTTCATCGTACTACGAGAAGACACTATTTTGATAAAATTGTGAGTTTCAGGGGGATTTTTTTGTAATAATGCTGGAGGGTTGAGAAGATCACGTTTCTTTCTGTGAGAAAGAAGCGTGTTTAAATGACAGAAATGTAAAGAATGTGGTAATCTGTACGGCATAAACGTACCTAATTATCTGACCATGATGTAAACAATGCAAGCTTTCTTTAAAATCAACAGTTCCACATATTATTTGCATACCAGTTCCTCTCTTTTGAAGACTACTGATTCTATATGTGAGGCCACTAAACAGATGCTTTTGGCTGTTCAGTGGTACTGTAGTTGTTAGAAACTGAAGCTAAAAAAGAAGTGACTTGATTATTATTAATTTTAAGTGTATGTGCTACTTATACTGAACTGGACATACAGGAAAACATTCCATTTGGATGACTTTCTTCTATTCCAGGTCTTTTCCTACTAGTGGTTCAGTCTGCTGCTCTTAGAAAAGATGATTTATAGAATGCAAGGAATGTAGCAACCTGCATCATTTTCCTTTCAAAAACTTTTCCTTGTTGTTAAAGTGGATTTAAATTTTTCAAAAATTAGACAAGGCAGTGTAACTGGCACACCTCACTTGTACTTATTCCCAATTGTGTAGAATTTGAATAGGTGGCTAGATGGACCATTGCCATTTAAGAATGTACATCAGGGATCATTGTACCTCGGCTATTACATGGTGCCTTAAACAGAACTGAAGCTAAGACTTAGTACTTTCTGTTATTCTTAATCTTAAATTAATTCAACAAGGTGTGCCTGTCATTTTCAAATTCCCTAAGAAGTAAGGACAGGTTACATAGCCTTCAAAAGAATAAAAGGATTTTTTTATTATTAAATGATTTTAATATCCTGCTTAGAATTACAATAAACCTATTTTTTCTTGTTTCTAGCTGGATTTCACTTTAATACAAATAAAATTTGCTTGGGAATTTGGAAAGCAAAACTAGCTTTAATACCAACTTCAAATGTCAAAATAGATTGACCATAGTCCCAAGCATGATTATATATTTTCTAAACCCTTGCCTACTTTTAATTTTAAAAACTAAAAAGAAATAAATGAGCAGGTACATAATGCAGCGCATGTTTTCAATTTCTATATTTTGTGGGTTATCAGCCAGATATTACATTTTAATGATTAAATAATAACAGTTTATAGAGACCATATTAATTGACATTAAAGAACTCAAGTTTTTCTTCATAAACATTTCATTAAGCAGACACATGAATTTGCTACACTAAAATAGTGGAATTAAACAAGAAAAAAAGCCAAAAAGTAAAGGAGAACACAAAAATATCAACTTTACAGAAAAGACTATGTAAGAAAATTAGGATTCTTTTATTCTGGTTAACTACTGTGTCTGACAATGACTTTAAAATCATATATACCAAATGGGAGAAAAGCATGTAAAATGGAACAGTGTATTTATAGCAAACAACTTTGTTGCTAGAGTTTACATGTGCTCCAAATACAGCTGCACATAAATGGAAATGTCCTAACTTTATTGGTGCACAAAAATAAATTTTAATTCCTTTGCAGAATTGTGAACCCATACAGCTCATTCTGTGTAGGCATAATTCCTACTAATGTCAGTAGATGGCTTTTGCCTCAGTAAAAAGTAAAAGTGAGGTTTATATTCATTATTTCTAAACTCATAAATGCACTGAACCTCATTATAGATTTTGTTGCCACATATATCACTCAGTGTGCCCTGATTTTTCCTTAGAAGTCAGCACATCTGTACCTTATCACCAAAAATACTAAAACTAAGCTGTGATAAATATTTGCTCCCCTTCATTGTGCATTATAAGATGTTTACAAGTAAAATAAAGTGAAATAATTCAACGCTTTTTTTCATTTTCAGCTTTTTTTTTAATACTATAGTACTTGTTTAAATTTTTGTGATGGTTTGTGTTTTCTTATTATTAACCTTTCTTGGTTTAATGTTGAATTTGTTGTTGCTGAGGAAAGAGTACGATTGTAAAAGGTAAATCTAGATTGCTAAATATGGTGGGACTTGAATATCTTCATTATTTAGCTCCCCACTCCACTCAGTTGTTCACTGTCACAAAGTGAAAAACAAAACTGAACAAAAATCTGAATATAAAAAAGGGAATGTATTTCATAGCTTCTAAAAACAATGTGTTATCGAAACAAATTGGAACTATCCCAGGTCTGGAGAACTGACTGGAGTCTGTATTCTTATGCTTAAATTCTAAAGGATTTTACCAGATTTTTTTTAGAGCAACTGTCTTACTGTAAACTGCATTGTATACTTACAGATTTGGGAGTCTCCTGTTTTATTTTTACTGAAATTTTAATCAAACAGATAAAACATTTTGCACACTCTTGCTATTTAATAGTTGGGTTTTAGTACTCACTGAACTACAGAGATACCAATACCTCAGTCCATCTTCTATAATGTGTAGCATGTGGTTGCACTGCCACACCAGCTCTGGAGTCTGTTGTCAGTGCTGTGGAGAGGTGTAGCATGTGTCCACAGGGTAGACATTATGAGAGCTGACATGATTTATGTGTTTCGTCCACTCTTGAAATGGAATCCAGAATAATTATTTTAGAGGCGTTTCCCCCATTAGCACAAATAGCACAGTGAACAGTGTGGGGGAAGAGGTCTTGTTGAACTACCTTTTCAAAACATAGGGCCCAATTTTCAAAAGTTTTACATTTATTAAAATTTGTTGGTACATTTCCATCTTTCTCATGGTAAATTAGTTTTACAGCCTCTTTTTTTTTCTGTTTTTTTTTTTTTTTCTCTTGTACTGTAGCATGCTCTAAGCACCTTCATTTTAAAAAGTTCCATAAACATTTGGAAAATAAATATTAAATTATTTGCCTATAAAATGATGATTTACAGCATTAATGCTTTTAGGTCAAAAAAAGAAAATAGATAGTGTTCTGTCATTCAGAAATGCATAGGTCTATATACAAATTTAATTTAAAGCCAGGTATTTTTAAATTTCTGAAACACTTTTTTCACCCTGTTTTTTCTAGGAGAAATGATCTGATATCATTGTCATTCCCACCAATTGACATCTGCACTGTTTAGAGAAAGCTTTATATTAGAGATGCACTGCAGTCCAGTTTAATTCAGAATGCTTTTACAAAACAAAACTAACTACTGAGAGCCATAAACATGCTGACAAAAAAGATCTATTAGTAATATAAGTATGCAACAATAATTTCAGAGTTTAAAATATTAATTTCAGAGAGCAGTGTGAATTTCTGAAAATTGGGCCCTTGTCACACTAACAGGACATGGTCTTTGCATATGGTTTAAAACAATGGAATACATGGAATTCTAGTACCTCTGCTAATTGGTTTGGTGAATTAACAGATATAAATTCCAATAAAAACTGGAATAGAAGCATAAACACACAGTGCTTAGGTCTAGTATTAGAAAATTAATTTGATAAAATGCCTTGCATTAACCCTTTGAGCATTGTAAGTAACATGATGGGAACAAAGATTTTTAGATAATTTAATTAGTCCGTTGAGCATATACTTTGAAATAGCTAATAGTGTTGTAAACTTTTTTTAATTATGTCTAAGTAAATACTTGCATACTATATGGGGATGTTTTTTATTACTGGGAGGCTGAATAGATGTAGGCAAAATTCACTGCCATTGATGTGTACTGTCTAATAGAAAACAGTACTTCAGCTCCCTGGTTTTCATAGTTGCAAATATTTATAAAGAAAATCAAACATACGATTCTACAAATAAAAAGTTGTCTACTTTAAGATGCCTTTAGAAGATAAAGGTTTAGAAAATATATTCAGCTATTTTGAAAATCTCCTGAGGTAGGTTAGTATGTACTGTAAAAGAGAATCTTTAGGATTAAAAGAAGGCTTAGTAATAATAAATTTTGCAGAATATTTGATGTGTTTGCATTGAAATTCTTGGCAGTGTTTTTGAGAAACAGGAACAAAAAGTGCACAATTATATTGATAATCCTTTTAAAACTCAGTCACTGCAATAATAACTAGCTAAAAGGTGAAGGTATTTTATTAAATTTCATATGCAAGGGTACAGTTTGGATGGCCCTTACTGAATGTCAGAATTTTAAGAGCAACCTAGAAATTGCATGAGCAAATATTCTAGAAAGCCCCTATGTTCTTACAATTACTGCTTACAAGAGCAAGGGAACAAGCATAGCAGCAAGTAAAGATTCTTTTAACTTAGAGATACTGATGCCATCTTACTAAGTGAGAATACATTTTCTACTGGTTTCCTGCAATATCAATCAGTCAGCAAACACTAAAGCAGCTATACTTATTTAAGTCTAGCTGAGGGCAAGGAGAAAGGGTATCATTTTAAATTATTTAAGGGAATTACATCAGTAGGATAGTGCAAGTAAGTTGTAACATTTTTTAGTCAGTTAATGCAAATTAAT